TCCAAGAAAGGGACGCTTACAGGGACAGCCTCTGGCGTGTGTCAAGATGCATGCTTGGCAGTTTTTGTAAGCTATGGGGACAGTGAGCGTACCTGTCCCCCTTCCGGTGTGAAGATGTGAGTGCCCCTCGAGGTGCGGTGACTTGGCCAAGGGCATAGGAACAAGGGTGAAATCAGGACTCAATCCTGCATCTGCTTCTCCAGCCTGGGCTCCTCCGCATCCACTGTAAGGCCTCTTCTCAAAGGGTAGGTCTTGCTTCAGGAGTCAGTCTGTGTTGGTTTTAATAAGCGGCGCTGTTACCATGCGAGAAAGGTCAGGAGGCATGACAAAACCCGTTATCAGAGCAGAGCTTTCTAGAAGGGAGGAACAGAAGAGAGCGACCAGGCCTGTGGAAGACACATGGGGGGGGAGGAGGAGGAGGAGGAGGGGTTTGTGTCCTGCCTCTTATGGATTCCCCTGCACATGCGCATACGGGCTTACAGAGCCACACCACACATGCGCAGATTGTGTAATCATGCTGTACACAAATTACATGATCACACAGCGCACGGTTTACATAGGACGTAAGGCCCCTTGCTTGACTACTGAGCTGCGCATGTGCGGTCGCATAGCTGGAGGAGAGGCCGGAATTCCAACAGTCTGTCCATTCTGTACTTCCATCTATTCCTCAAAAGCAGACTGAGCTCTGGGCTAGTCCTGGACGGAGTGAAGTAAGTATACAATGCAATGTTTATCCTTTTTATTTATTTACTTTTTTTTTTTCAGGAGGGTCATGAAGGGCTCTGGGCATCTAGGCAAGTAGTCTCCAACTAAGGCACATCCCCAGGCCCCAAAGTTTGTCTTGGACACTCCCCCATCTCAAACTACCTTATTGCACGCTTGTGAGAACTCTCAGCCAGTCAAGGGCTTCATCGACAGCTTGCTGCCTGTCCAGGGGGCATTTAATGGAGTGTTCACCTGGGTCATGTTCCTTTTGAGAACCGTATATTCCTCCTTATTCTTTGAGAATTTCATGCATATATGCAATAAATTTTGATCGTATTTAGCCTCTGCTTTCCCTGCAACTCTGTCTTGACCCCCAACACATTACTCTTCCAACTCCATGTTGTGTTTGATATGTAACACACACATGTGCACACATCACACATGTGCACACATCCTACCGAGTCCTAATAGAAACACTTCATATTTTTACTATCATCACTCCCTCTCATTTAATCAAGACTGACCTGTCATTTTTACATTATGTCATAACCACGGTCAGGACTTCATAAGACCAAGTCGACTACTGCGACATGAGTTAGCTCATTAACAAGTTGATTGTGTGTGCTAGACCTTTAAGAAAATCAGGTGACTGTTAGGGTTTAAATGTGAAATGTCCCCCAGAAGCTCACAGGTAGAATGTTTGGCCCCTGGCTGCTGTTGCTACCTTGGGAGGTGGGAGAACTTTCAGAGGCATGGCCTCTCTGGAGGAAGTGGGCCACTGGGGACATGCCTTTGAAGGGCACACTTGGTCCCTGGTTGTTTCTTCTTTCTCTCCTTGCTTCCTGTCTACTGTGCAGCGAACAGTGTCTGACTCCACATGACACCCTCACCATGATGGTCGGCCCCAGCACGCAACAGAGCCCAGAATTCAGAACGGAAACTGTGGGGCCGTGAGTCAGAATCAACCCTCTCTCCCTCTATTGTTCCAGTCAGCATTTGGTGGGTTACTGCTTCCTTCAATGTGTTTTTTAAAGGACAGGAAGATGGTAACTGTGGCAGCTTCAGCGCAGGGCAACATTTCAGTCAAGAGGGCCTTTGCTGTCCCAAAATAATCCCACATAGGGAGCCACCCACTTTCCCTGGGCACTGGTGAGCTTGATTGTATCTGAACCATTCATGCAGGCTCCATTCTGTAACACTCAGAAACCTGTGAGGGAAGAGAGGCATCAGTGGGGAGCACCCATCTTTTGACTGGGAGAAAGATGCTGTCTGTCCAGCCGTCTACGGATAAGGGCCATGGCTCCGTCCTGCTCATCCAACCTTCCATCTTCGTGTTGACACTGAGTCTTTGCCCCGAGGGAAGCACAGGCCACTTCCTCCTTCCTTAGTTTGCAGAGGGGCTGAGCACACACTCATCAGGAGCAAAGCCCAGAGTCCAGATCAGAGACTTTGATTTCTATTATGTGCTCCAGCCCTCTAATCAACCCCCCTTTCCTCCCCTCTCTCACTCAGATTCCCTCTCTCCTGCCTCTGATTCTTTACTCTGTACCATTTGTCTTCACACACAAAGACAAGAATCTCAGATGTGAAGAGGAAAATGGACAGTAATCATTACAGATGACCCATTAGAAAATAAGCCGACCGCTTGTTTATTTGCTCATACAAAGGCATCCCTTCCGCCGTGCTCTGCGGCAGAGAGGCGTGCATTCAGACATAATTCCCCATGATTACCCTTTGATTGGAGATTCTTTCCCCAGCTCCTCTTGGGTACTTGAGCATCTAAACAAACTGCCTACAAGTAAATCCCGTCCCTCAAACCCTCCTTCCTCGTTCAGGAAGATTCTACTTTGCAGGCAAACATTCTCTCCCCAGTTAAAATGGCAAGAAAAGAAACTTCACAGCTGAGACAAATCTGGAAAAAGAAAATATTTGTCCATGAAATTTGTTCTGAGCCAAACCTATTTCCTTCCCCGGGAAGAACTAGATAATCGATGAAGCAAAATTCATCTAATGCCAGTAAAATTAAATGGTTTAATAGGGAACAGAGGCATTGGGCTATTAGCAGCCCCATTCCAAGCCAGCTTAACGGATGCTTAATGCGAATGAGTAATACTAAAGGGACAGCGAGCCAGGCCAAATGGACTGCCACGGAGCTGACATTTATCATGATTTAAAGGTCCTTACTCTGAAGCCCTGAATGGCGCGCAGGGGTCTGTGAACTCATGGCCAAATGTGGAGGTGTTTGTAACTATATGGGATTTCTTTCCTGAACCATGATCCACAGGTTGGAAAGGATCTAGGAATTACCATCCCGAGCAGATCCTCTCGGGGAAATGGACAAGTTGGATAGAACTCTAGCAGTGGGATCCTTGTGTTTATGTGATCAGAGATGTGCATTTGGGGTATTTTTCTTTGAAAGAGAGTCAAGGCTGGCCTGTACAGGTAGTTAACAGCCAGATTAGAGAGGAAAATTGAAGAATAGCTGAGAATTGGATTTAGACCATTCCCCAGTACAAAGAATGAAGAAGCATCTCAGCGGCTCAATAAAACAAAAAATACCTCATACAAAGTCCAATATGAACACTCCTAGTCTCTGAAGCCATGTAGAGACTCAGGCTCCTTGAATTCTGTGGCTCTGACTTCCAGTGACCTTGCAGTCCTGTGTTAGGATTCCTGTGTTTAAACAGTTGATAGAGGAGCACACGAGAGAAACTGGCACTTCCCTTCATCTTCCTTCAGTCTGAATTCAGTCAGATGACCACTGCTCTGTCTAGTAAGGGAGACTGGGAAATGTAGTCTTTATGCTCAGGACGGTGAAGAGCATGTAATACTTCTACCTCACCTGCTTACATGAAGCAACAGTACTACAGTGTCTAGGGTCGCAGAAAACAAACTGGTCTAGAAACTGGGAGAAAACCTAATGTCATGGGCAAAGTTGTCCTCAGATGACATGCAGGAGAGGCAGGCTTAGAAGAAATAGGAAGGTGGCCATGTATGGTGGCACATGCCTTCAATTTCAGCCCTTGGTAGGCACAAAGTGGTAAATCTCCGAGTTTCTGGGCCAGCCTGGTTTACATTCCAGGCTGAGGCTATAAAGTGAGACTGTCTCAAAAACAAAACAAGAAAGAACTGGAAAGGCATTCAGACAGCAAGGCCAGTCACAGTCGAATACAACCTAAGAGTAAGGCATAATGGCAGGAGAGATTTTGGAATTAACTGTAAGCAGTGGAGCCTTGACCACTGAACTAGCATTCACAAGGCTAAGGTTAAGCCTGGGCAAGGTGGGGGTGGGGGAGCAAGACTTGGGAAGATTAAGGAGATGGAAATGGGGTGACGGGGAAGCAGTCAAGATAGATGGTGAGATATGTTCTTCAAGTTCTTGTGGAAGGTCGGGATTGGGTCTAGGAAAAGGCAGAGCCTACCAACGGGTCAGATGTGAGGAGAGACACATGGGAACCAGGAGAGGCCTGACGTGGCTTGTCCTTTATGTTCTCAATATGCCAGGGCGTGGTGGCACACACTTTTAAACCCAGTACTTGGGAGGCAAAGGAAAGTAGATCTCTGAGTTTGAGGCCAGCCTGGTCTATACAGTGGGCTGTAGGCCAGCCAGGGCTACAGAGTGAGACCCTGTCTCAAATAAAAATAACAATAAAGATGTTGCCAATAACCTCTCTCAGTTTCTTTCCCAAAAGTTTAAGTTTAAAATATACATTTACCTATTCTCTCTCTCTCTCTCTCTCTCTCTCTCTCTCTCTCTCTCTCTCTCTCTCTCTGTGTGTGTGTGTGTATGTGTGTGTGTGTATTTGTATGTAGATTAGAGTGCAACTTTGGGGAGCTGGTTCCACCCTGTGGGTCCCAGGGATCAAACTCATTGATCAGACTTGGTGGCAAATAAATTACTTTGCTCACAGAGTGATCTCACCAGCCCCTTTCTCGAACGTAGACAGACTCTAAAGCAAAGGACTCAGGTTTCTACAAATGGTGTCTCCAAGAGGAGTGTAAGGTCCTTAACTATCCCTGCTGGCAATGTCCTCTGTGTCCATGAAAACATGTACTCTGAGCTGCCTCAGTGGCCTGTGGAAAGCACAGTGCACTCCCCACTTCCTGGCCAGTGCCTACTGCAATTCTCCCTCGGCTCTGCGTAACCCACGTCACCACTCCATAGTTCTGTCAGCTCCAAGGAATCCAAACCAGTTTAGTTCATGGCTTGGATCTGCACCACATGGGAACATTATTTTCTTTGAGTGATGAAGGCAGGGACCGCCCAGGGAACCCAATACATCAGACCGTCAAGATGCCAACATTCTGCGTATATTTTATTCACATTTGGATTTGTGAACAGAAAGGTTTTTTTTTTTCTTTTTTGTTCCCATGCTACAAAGTGTTGGTTAAAAAAAAAAAAAAAACAAGTATGACCAATTAATAACTAATAGCTACAATTTGTAAACAGAAGTATGATGTACAAATAACAGATACAATTCCTTTGGTATACCCCAGACACGTTTCTATTCAGTCATAAAACTGTGAGTGCCGCCATTCTCCTCTCTTCGTGGGATCTGTCCTTGCCACACAACTGTTCCCCTCCCTGGCTTAGCCTTGCTTCGCCGGTTCATGTACGCAGCCCACCCAAACCACCAAGCATTTCCAACTCCAACCTGGTGTCTGTCTTCTGTTCTTTGATACAACAAAAGGAAGCCAAACTGAAAGTCGAGTGTGCACGTGTGTGAGGCCTGGAATACTGACCGCCATGGAAAGCTTTTCACTCGCTGCCCGGTCCAGATCAGCTACAATAACTGTCACTCAACCGGCAGCGAGTTGATCCCTGAGCCGGTTCTTCAAAGACGAGACAAACAGAATTCCGGGATGCTATTTCCGTCCGAGGTTTCAAGCTCGGACGGTTCCAGCTGGCGGTACTCAAATGTCACGCGGTTGATCTGTTTTCCGCTGGAGACCATGCGCACCACGGTGTTGTCACAGCTGATTTTCATCTGGGCTGTAATTGATTGGGGGGGGGATAATAAATGTTTTCCAACAGGTCATAGAACACAGAGTAAAACCAGTGCTCTCCGCTCCCTAAGTTAAACAGTGAAGGTTGGGATAGGGCCATGAATATATATTATTATAATATATAATATTATAATAATATATTATATATTATATAATATAATATTAAAACTATATAATTGGGAGCTGGAGAGATGGCTCAGCGGTTAAGAGCACTGGCTGCTCTTCTAGAGGTCCTGAGTTCAATTCTCAGCAACTCCTTTGCACAGAGTGGGTACCACACTGAGTAGACAAGTTTTTATTCTATTGCGGTGGTTCGCCACAATCCTTTAATACAGTTCTTCATGTTATGGTGACCCCAACCATACAATTATGTCATTGATACATCATAACTGTAATTTTGCTACTGTTATGAATCGTAATATAAATATCTTATTAGATATTTATATTAGATATTTATATGCAAGATATCTAATATGTATTTGACCACCAAAAGGGTCAAGACCCTCGGGTTGAGAACCAATTTTCTGTTGTTTACCAGCACCCTTCAAACTGTCCTGGTATGGAATAGCTTCGAACATTCTCACTTGGCTCACATCCAGTATTTCCATTGTCTGAACGGGCACCTGACACCTATCTGCCGCTTCTCCTGGCCGGTGTGCCCAAGCAGCTCACAATGAGAGTCACATTATTTTCATGAAAAATGACTTTCCATTCATTTCTGCAGCCACAGTTTGATTCCTGACACATGTGTTATCTGCCCTATAATCATTCTTTCTGCTATTTTAATTTTCTCAGTCTCTCCCCCTCATACTTGGTATCTACAGGTTATTTCACAATTCTGAGGCATGCCACCACAGACACATCCCTGGGTGCCAAGGAAGCAAAGCAACATGATAATGTCAGTAAGGTGAAAGGCTGTTTGAAAGCAAGATAAGTTCCAACCCTGACTTCTTTAAAATATAGCTATGAAAGAACCCAGACTAGCTGCTGCCTGGAGGCCATGTTTATCTTCCTGTAGATAATTCAGAAGGTGGTTTTTCTTTCTGGTGTCGCTCTGAACTTTAATCTACACAATACATCCCGGTTCCTTTAGTTAATGTGCATACTATTTGTTTTAACATAATTCTAACAAAATTCAATGTCAGGGACAGGGTCTCTAATGGGTCTATAGTTTTGGACTAAACTTAGAGTACGTGGAAACAGGGAGGATGGAAGAAGGAGGAGGAGGAGAGGAAGAAGAAAGCTACATGTGCAGATACGTAGCTCAGTGGTAAAGCATCTGGCATATGTGGGAGACTGGATATGGTCCCTAGTCCACACAAATAAATGAATAAGATTTTTTTTTTTTTTGGTATTTTGAGACAGGGTTTCTCTGTGTAGTTTTGGAGCCTCTCCTGGATTTCATTCTGTAGACCAGGCTGGCCTTGAACTCACAGAGATCCGCCTGCCTCTGCCTCCTGAGTGCTGGGATTAAACTATCTAAAATAAACCAGAGAATGATACAATTCAAGCTTTAAATTACTTAATGTTGGTTTAACTATGCCCATAATTTAGACAAAGCAGGTTTGGTTTTTTGGGGGTCCTTCCTCGCACCCTTTTACAAAACTAAGCTAAGTTCTATAATTGAAGCAGAAATAAGATGGCTTCAGTTATCTGAAGTCACAAGCATTCTTCGATCCATTCCCATCTTTTTACTCCGCTCAAATACATGTCTCTAAAGGCCATTTCTCACACCAGCCCAGGAACCACGCAGTGCCTCAGAAGGTGACCACAGAAGACCGTCAGCATGGCCACAATCCATGACAGCTTACGTCAGAGTAAAGGCCAGTCAGTACAAAAGATTCCTCTGGGTATGGTCGTGTGCACCTGTGATCCTAGCCCTCCAGAGGCTGAGAGAGAAGATCAAGAGTTCAAGGCCAGCCTGGGCTACTTACTGAGAACCTGCCTTAAAAAAAAAAAAAAAAAAAAAAAAAAAAGAATCTTCTCAGCTTCAGCAAAGTAAGTTTAGACATGTTTAGGAAGCAATCTTTGCCTCAGTGAGATAACTTGCCTAAGTCCAGTCCTACCTGTCTCATGGAGCCATTTCCACACTCGTCAATCTGAGGAGCTGTTTTGCTTACCGAGGGCTCAGGGAGAGAAAATACTGGTGATGTGACCTTATTTTAACATCAGGGTACAACAGATCAGAACAGCGGTCTGCTTTGCGACCTCATTACCTAGTTGGAGGAGGGTCTGTGGGGGTGCAGGAGGAGGGAGCCTGAAGGGAATGGTCTGTGCCATTTGGCACTGGAGTGCCTCCGGTTTTAATTTGTCTCTTTCCATCCTACCGACGATTCCTGTAACCTAAAGTACAGGTGTGAGGGCGACCTTTACAGAACTGCACTATGGGAACTTCCCCCACCACATACAGTTTATTAGTTTGGTTACGTGGTCAGTAGTTTGTACCCCATCCTCACACCCCTTAGCTTGAGCATCCTCATTGGTGCCAGGCATGGCAGGGCTGGCCCCATTTGGTAGCCTCATCCTAAAGTAGCTTTGTATTAATGATGGGCACTTTGAGATTTCAGAACTTGTCTCTGGGTAGCAATGGCCTTTGAGAGGCGAGTGTAGCTGCAGAAGTTGGGGAAACTCAGGGGCTTGGAGGGGCTCTAGAAATCTTTCTGTTCTGCTATAAATAATCCAGCTATTATAAACATAAATTATAAATAACTTGCTGTAAATAATCCAGCCCCATGCATATGTGTATACATATCCTATACTGTTGCTAGAGTTTTCCTGCCTTGCCCACAGTCAGGACAAATCTTTGTCACCCGCCAGTCCCACAGCCGCTCAGACCCAACCAAGCAAACACAGAGACTTATATTGCTTACAAACTGTATGGCCGTGGCAGACTTCTTGCTAACTGTTCTTTTATCTTAAATTAATCCATTTCCATAAATCTATACCTTGCCACGTGGCTGGTGGCTTCCCGGTGACTTCACATGCTGCTGGTCATGGCGGCGGCTGCAGCCAGTCTTTCTGCCTTCCTGTCCTTTTATTTCTCCTTTCTGTTAGTCCCGCCTATCCTTCCTGCCTAGCCATAGCCGATCAGGTTTTATTTATTGATCAATCAGAACAACTTGACATACAGACCATCCCCCCCACAGCCAAGTGCAGACCATCTCAGACACCTGCACTCAGGCCCATGGTCCTAATCATCCTCTATGCGGACCTGCTGGGTAACGCCACAAAGAACCCAAGAAGGGCTCCCACAGGACATACAGAACATCCCACAGCACTATACACACATTGATGTATGTATATATACCTACACATGTATGCATACATGAGAATGTATCATATACAGGTAGCAAAGTTATTTAGTTATTATTTCATTATTATACTGTTACCATTCACAGATCCTTTTTACCATTTGAATTGTTACTCTCCGAAGAATAAAAGCAGAGATTTTCCCTAACGTGGAGAAACATTGTCTTTTTCATAGTTTTCCTTAAATACACATCCTAGCTGCTCTCTAGGACTCTCTTTTGGTGCTGAACTGAAGTGGTAAGTTCTGATACTATACGTAGACTCAAGTAAAATTCTCACATTGGCTTGAAATATAAAACAATTTTTTGATAGAATTTGTCTTACTATATTAAAAGTTTGGGGCATTTTATTTAAGGAAATCACCCTGATGGCTACGTGAATACAACAGAAAAACTGTCTCACCAGGGCCTTGAAAGGGGAAGCACAGGTCTGCTAAAGGCATCATCTTGGAGGGGTCCAATCCGTTTCCTCCCAACAGCTCCACGAAGTCGCCGGTCCCACCACAGTCATCCGAGGGTTTCTAAGAGGATAGAGCAGTGGACAGAGCAAGATGCACGTAAACCTCTCGCAGAGGCCAAACTGAGCCAAGAGGGGATCAGTGAATACACTCTGTCGGCCTTCAACACCTGTGCTTCCGACTCAAACATCGGACTCCAGAAATCAAACTCCCACGAATCAGTTTTCTAAATCAGTTGACTAGTCATTTTTGAATGTATGGGTGCTTTTTTAAGGGCTAAATTCAATGACTGGAAAAATGAAACTGGAATCCACATGTTCAGAATAAGATGCGTGAACACAACCTGGGCGTACCTGGATACACACCAAGTCATTTGGACATCTTAATGCACGTAGTTAGATTAAAGGAAGCCCAGTCACCTGCAGTTTATAATTATATTATAATTTGTATATTTAAACTCTATGTTCTCCCTCAGCTTGCTTCCTTGCCTTTTGTTAATAAAGGAATATTTCTGTTCCTGGAACACGTCTCTTCTGCCAGTAAGGATGTAGATTACTCATGGGTATATTTATAAAAGGATAGAACTGTGATTTGGGGCTCCAGTTAGTCAAACTCACCTCTTACTCTTTCCTTTCAATGAAAACAAATCCCTTTCGTGGTGCTCAGAAGGAGAATTCATCGTAAACCTATGAAACCATCATTTCCTACTTCCCGAATCCTCCCACTGTTCTCAGCCAAGTGATTTCTGTGCCTCACTCAACACACAAAAAGTATGCATTCTCAGTCCCAAATGTTGTACTCGGCCCCTGCTTCACATGCCCAGGTTAGCCTTGAGTTCATTCAATCCTCCTGAATGCTGGGATTAGAGGAGTGAGCCACCACACTTGCAAATGTGTCTGAAATTCTTAATGAAGCTTTAATCACGACTCCACGCTTTTATTCCGGACTGTCTCCCACCATCCCTGTTGCCTGAGATCCTGTTATTCATTGATGTATACTCATTAAAAGACGTAGTGGTATTTGGCTGGTTGCTACAAGTTAACCAGATAAGCCCTGACACATGGGAGCTAAAATCTAAAACTCAGAACTTTAAACACCCACACATGCAGGTGCACACATATCAGACATTTAGAAGGACATCGAAATGTGATAGGAACTAAAATTAAAACATTATATAGTGGCAAGTATTTGGCTAAGGAAGGGAGAAAACAGGAGTTACTTATGTTTAAAGGGCCTACTATGTGCATGGCTGTATGCTTAGTTACTTCAAACATAATTTCACTACATGATGAAATAAAGGTTTAATTAGGCCCACTGTGCACTAGTTTGTGAAACGAGAGTCAAATAAGCTATTTAGGAATGAACGAACATAATTGCCTTTCCCATGAGTGGACAGGCGGAAGTTTCCACTTGGTGAGCAATGATGTCTCTCCTCTCAGTAATCCTCTTAGGTTTTCTCATAAACAGTGGCAGAAAGTGAGCTGCCTAGGTACCTGTCTGGGCTTCTGGGCCCCTCGGTAGCTCCTGCATGTCTTTGCTGAAATGGTAAGCTCCTACCACCTCCTGCTAGACCAAGACCTTGTGCCAAAGGCACACCCCAGCTTGTTGAACTGGAAGTGGAGTCCCCACTGCTCATTATGAACGCCTGAGGCCTCTCCTCCCAGCACACAAGAAAGCTGTAGTGCTTATGGAATGATCTCGAGTGGCTCCCTAACAACAATCAAAGGGCCCATGAAAAAGGCAGACTATCCCCAGCCCATTCACCAGGTGGGAGCCAGAGTGACCTTCAGATAGCACCCATCAGGTCATTCCTGCCGGAACCCGTAGCTTTCCCGCTGCACACACCTTCTTCAGACGGACAGCACCTTCTGCACTGCACATCCCCCTCTCTACTTGCTCTTTCCTGTTCCTGGGATCCACCAGGCCTGTTTCTGCCTGGCAGCACTGTTCCTCTGCTCCTTCTTCTTCCCATGACTGCTGCTCCTTCTGGTCGACCGCTCTGGTCAAAGCATCTTCTTCTCAGAAGTTTCCTTTCCTGCCACATTGTCTCAGGCAGCTCTCTCTGTCTACCCACTTTCCTGCTCCTGTCTATCAAACAAACCACTGTGCTGCATTTTCTGTACAGACTTACCGTGATTTGAAATCTGTGATATTTTTGCTTGTCATCCCACTAAAAAATAGGATTCCTATGAGCAGGACCTGCCTTGTTCATTGCTTATTTTTAGAATCTAGAATAGTCCCTTGTACAGAGGGATTTATCATTATTATTATTATTACTACTACTACTACTACTATTACTATTATCATCATCATCATCATCATCACCATTATTGTGATAGTAGTAAAGGGAGGATCATGCTGTGTAGTCCAGGCTAGCCTGGTACAAGAGGTTCTCCTATCTCAGTCTCCCAGTGCTGGGATTGCAAGTGTAAGCGACCATATCTAGCTTTCAATACCCAGGCCACTAAAAGTAGATTTCAAAGGAACTGATGCCTAGAACACAGTAGGCTCGAAAATGTTAAGGGGAATACCAAAATTATTCTTAGAGCTTCAATACCTAAAGCCCACACCTCCTAATCTGTTACCACACCTTCCACCTTCTAGACTGTACCCAAAGACTGGCATGGCATACAAAATCTATCAGATTGGACTCAAAGCACTCAGACATCCTTAGGAAAGGACCACTCCTCCATCAAGGTCCAAAACAACAACAAAGAAGGGGCGAAGGCATAGGAATCTGGGGGGTTGGAGGAAGCTGGATGGAAATGACTTTTCTCAGCCATCTTCCTTATTCAGTTTCCACAAAGATCTGTATTTTGAGAATGCTGGCTGCCTCCGTTATCACCAAACGCATGTGTTATTTTAACTTAGGCCTCTAAACAAGGAAGAGGAAATGAGTGTGAGTCACAGAGAAGTCACTATCTGTGCAAATAGATGCAGTCAAGCCAGCTTTCATTTTAAGGCACATACAGAAACTGATATGAAAGCAAGTTGGTAGGAATTTCACAGCGAATTTTTTTCCCTCAGGCAAAATGTCATACAACATGCTCTTCAAAACTTTACTGCTTTTTTTTTTCAATATCAAAATCCAATTACATGTTTTATGCCACCGTTAGCATTTTTTCCTAGCGCGGTGCTCTGTCAATGAGAGAGCCTTCCTTCGAATCAAAAGAAAATTCCAATGATCAGAAAAGCAGCTGTGTCGATGACTCACCGGAGGCGCGGCTAGGAGAGGATTTTTGCAAAAGAGGAAAGTACAAGAGCGTTCAACTGTAATTACATAGTGCAGCTTCCCCAAATGAAAGCATTTCCTATGTCACAGGAGAAGCACCGGCGTAGTCAGAAGGGGCACCTGAGGGTTGGCCTCCAGCCTGACTGAAATGGACTTTGATAAAGCCAGTGCAGCACGCGGGAGACTTAAAGCCATGAGGCGTGTTTGGGCTCTGATTAAAAAAAAAAAAAAAAAAAAAAAAAAAAAAAAAAAAACAGTGGCCTTCCCGAATGGCCAAGGAGCAAGCAAGCCACTTTACCTGAAGGCCATGCCCGTGTCCCAAGGTGAGATCAGAGATTCTGATTGCCACAGGGTAGATGATGGAGAAGCTGCAGTTTTGGTGCTGGTGTGGGACCACCAGAGTAAACCTTCCGCTCGAAGTCTGGGAGATGACATTGCAAGCTTTAGGAGGGAAACAAGTTACAATTACATTATTTGGAGTGCTGTTTTGTTCTTTAAATAGAAATTCACAATATCTTTATTCTAGATTTCAGTTCATGGTCTAGTAGATATCTCCAACCTGGGGCCCACTGACCACATGTGCCCAGGATAGTGATGAATGGGGCCGACCATATTTATAGACTACACTCTTCTATCCCAACATCCTAAGGATGGGCCTCTCTGGTTAGGTTTTGTGCCCAGGAGAGGGTGGATAGCACAATGACAAAATATCACAATGACAACCTGGGAAAAGGCAGGGCCTGGGGAATAGAACTCTTCAGTGACATGTGCATGTGACAGGCAGTGCTAGATACAAGGGGGGGGGGGGTTCCTCAGCTTTGTCTCTGGTTTACAACAGTCCTAAGGTAGGAACTCTATCTACCGTGCCCGAGAGGAGTTCAGGAGCACTTCTATTAAGTTAGGTCTAGGTCCAGGCTGGCAGACCAAGGTTCAAAGGTGAAGCCAGGGAGCTAGGGGCATGGTCAAGCTAATGCTGTGAGAAAGCCTCACCCCTAGAATTTGGAGCCTTGGTATATATATATACACAATAAAGCCGTAAGTAATTTTATTTTAAAGATTTCATGATAGTGACAAAAGCAGGTGAGAATAAAATAGACAACAGTTTTATACCTAACACTTATTTGCTGGGTATTGAGTACATTTACTGTTGACTAAATGGCCAATTCTTAAATCTTGGTAGTCTTAAGGTTTTCTGAAGTGTTTCTTTTTCTTTTTTTATTTCGAGTCTGAACTTACAACCAAGTTATTCTTCTATCTATGAAACAGAGGCATGGGATTGCCTTTGGACTAACTTACCCCCTTATATTTTTTATTACACTTAATTTCAGAAAGAAGTAAAATTCCTTGACACTTCTGAAAGATGTATTCTGATTTTTCACCAAGCAGATTCCAGGAGAAATGTGTCTTCTCCAATCATTCTACTTCCCAGATAGCCTCAGATTTTCCTCTCTCTCTCTCTCTCTCTCTCTCTCTCTCTCTCTCTCTCCCCCCTCCCTCTCTCTCCTCTCCCTCCCTGACGCTGGAGTTTAAACGCAAGGTCTGTGCACCCTCAGACAAGTGGTATACTACTTAACTATGTCCCTAGCTCCCAGAATTTTCTCCTGAAGAGAAAATAAGCTGATGTGTGAACTCATTTTGCTCAAAATCACACTCTTTCAGCTTCGGCGCTATAGTTTGACAGCATAATCTGTGTGTTTCTCCATCAGAAATGAGCTGAGTTGGGGTGGCGGCTTTGTGGTAGAAGATAACATAGAGGACAGAGACACAGAGGCACTCTGGTCCACTTCTCTCCTTAGGATGTGACATCTGCCCGCCTCATCTCAGAAGCACATCCCTTCCAGCCTTTGTTTACAAAGCTCTGGCACCAACTGATCCTTTAAGCTTATCCTGCATCTGGAGGATGGTTTGGGAGATTAAAGCTAGTTATTGAACCCATTGGAATGCCTTGGGAGGGCAGAACATGACTTTGGAGGAAAAATAGAAGTGCATGTACCATATATTAGAGTATTGCCTAGCCTGGGAAAGAAAATCAAAAACTGTGGTTTGATTTTCATGACAATGAATGAAGACTTCACAGCACTCCTTGGTTTAAGTCTGTGAAATACTATGACCTGACCTTTACAAAGCAGGTATGGCCACCTCCTACCCTGTGAGAGTCCTGTCTTTTCCTTGAGCTTACTTACGGAAGAGGGTGGGGACTTTCTTGACGGTTAATGTGAATCCATTTCCTGGTTCATGGACCCGGAAGAAGACCATGGCCACATTCTGGGAAGATGTGATGCTCCTTCTGGTAAGACCACTCTCACAGAAATCTGTGTACCGCTTCGTAGTGGGTAGAGGGTGATCCTGAGAACTTGGGAACTTCTCCCCCTTGAGGATCCAACCATCAAATACCTTCAAATAATGATGATGATGATAAATAATAATAATAATAATAATAATAGTATAGACATAAACAGTGACTTTTGCCAACTTGTGAAATCAAAATGTGTTGAAAAGAGGGGGGAAATTACCTAGCAATGAGCCTTCAGTTATAAGCCAGGAACCCACAGCCCCTACTCACAATCTGCTTGCTCTTCATTCATATGCATTTTGAACATGCAGATTGGTTTCAAGTAATATTATCAATTAATCTTTTTTTCTGCATAAGCCTCCAAACTGCCAAGTGAGCATACCTTTTTATACTTTATCAACTAGTTCGGTAAAAGGAAATTATAGACAACACTGACTGCTTTATTTTGTCTTTTCCACATTCAGGTGAACTCTGCAGGAGTGCTATTTGGATTTCATTGGACCTCTCGGCTTCTGTTTTGCCTTTAGTCAGTGAAATGTGAGCAACAACACCACCTCTCAAAGACAAAGAATAAGTAACAACAACAACAACAACAACAACAACAATGAACTTGTTCTGGATATGATGGAGGATGTTTGTAATCCCAGTATTGCAGAGGTTGAGAAGAAGCGTCATGAGTTTGTGGCCAGCCTGGGGTACACAGGGTGATTGGGTCAAAGTAATGCTCAAGGTGGGGTGGGGTGCAGCAGCGTCTTCTTCGCCAGTGGCTCACTCTTCACATAAAAAAAAATCATCAACTCAAGTTGTGTGTGTGTGTGTGTGTGTGTGTGTGTGTGTGTGTGTGTGTGTGATAGGTTGGTTAGTTGGTTGGTTTTTAATGCTGTAGTCAGGTGGTGCTGGCTAGTAAGCCATGTAAGACTTCCTCCTCGCTTCCTAAGTCAGCTTTGGGACAAAGGGTCAAAGCCAATTGACCCCACTCTCAAAATCACGGCAGGGCTCCATTTTAATGAGTCCATCATAGCAACATTACCAACAACCTGGAGCAAATTATTGCTAGCAAGCTTGACAGGTTCCCAAATGGTTCTGCTTTGGAAGTCTCAAGTGTGATTTTTTTTTTTGGGGGGGGGGGGCAGCAGAACTCCATCCAGCTTGCCTCCCCTGTCCTGTGTGGTTGTGGATACTGAATTGGGGGTGCTGAGGCTTGGTGATTCTCCTCCCTTCTCACTTGTCTTAAACCAGAACTCCCTTCAGCGTCCTCCCATGACCAGTGTGCCCTGCTATCCCCAAATCCCATCAGAAAGGATCCAAAGAGCCTCTGCACTCCTGGAAGACAGAGGTGGCTTCAGATCTCAGAAGGCAAGAGGAGAGCTCGCCATCTAAGAGGTTCTCGTGGTAGACTCGGGAGCTCCTGCTAATTATTTTTGCCATGTTTTGTTCCCCCCAGATTGCACTGCAGCATCTCACGCTGCCAGCTCAAGTGCTAGGAAGTCCCAGGGAGTTGGGGAGTGCACAGAAGGAAAACTAAACCACCAGTGTCCAGGGGCGCTGGACCTGTAGAGACCCTCCCTAGGAATGCAGCTTCCCGGGCCTCCCCCCAGTGAGCTTCTGAAACTCAGGAACATATTGCTTCGGTGTTGCCCCCAGGTGGGCACGCTTAAGGCCAGGCGGACTGGGGCTTCGTGGAGCGGGAACCCCCTCACCTTCAGGAGGTCCCCACCCTGGCAGTCGATGGAGACCAGGTCGAAGTGGATGGTGATGAACTCATCGGGATCCCCGATGAAGAAGACGGCGCAGTGCAGCTGCGGCTGGTCGGCGGTGAAGGTGAACTGGCCAGGGAGGCTCAGCATGTCCAGGCACCCTAGGGGGAGAGCATGGAGCCAGGGGTCCCCAGCTGCCCCAGGAAGCCGCTCTCAGCGTGCTCCATTCCCTGGCTCCGCAGAGCGCGGTGCCCCAAGTCGGGGCTCCTAGCTTAGGCTGCACTGGGTTTCCTCGCTCTGGCTTGGAAGGAGGCTTGGGGATGCCGAAACCAGGAGGTCCCAGCCAGCCCCCGGCAGGAGATCCTGCAAGCCTACGTCCTAGGTGCAGAGCCCAAGCCTCCCGCCTCCCGGGGCGCCCACACAGTGGAGCAGGACAGCCCCGACTCACGCAGAGCTCGGCGATATGGCTGCTCCCCCTGCTCTCCGGACAGGTCCCGCTTCAGTTTGGCGCTGAAGAGCAAGAAAGGGTCATAGTCCGCGGCTTCTTGTACCTGGCAAGGAAAGTAGATCGGTCCGGAAAAGTTCAGTGGACCAGGAGTAGGGCACCCTCCTTGCAGCTCAGAGAAGCGAACTGAGAGCGAGTCCGTGTCTCCCCAGAGTCTGGAGACTACGAGTGAATCTTAGACTCTTTCCATCAGATCAGGGTACCCAGGCATCCTCAGCGGCCAGAAAAAGGCAAGCAGTTAGGATGCTCAGAAGCAAGGAGAAAGCAAGTCTCGAAGAACCAGGGAAAATAAAATGCAACAGAGAGGAGACTCTCAAAGCCCTGCCTGCTGTCCCCTGGCTGAATACTCCCGGGAAAGGTGTTAAGGATCGAGGAAGAAGGGCTCACCTCTAGGTAGCGGCTCTCTCCCCTTAGAGCAGTCAGGAGGATCAGAATGAAGTAAGCCTGGAGTTTGAAGTTCAGTGACATGCTGGCCTTGTCTCTGCAGCTGGTGCGCTCTGCTGCAGGGATCTTGGGCATTTCTTCCCACACCTTCACCCACGCTGAGAGCTCAAGGCTGCTAGGGTCCCTTTCCCGGATCTCTTTTATAGGAGCAGGAAAGAGGGGAGGCACTCTGCCCCTTAACCGATCCGAGCTTAGTTACCATGGGTTACCCTGCCTCGGTGACAACCTACGTGGCAATGACGAGGGTCCAGCTCTCAGCCACAAACATTGCAGCATGGCCCAGCGTTATTCAACAATGACTTCAATCACTAGAACCTAGTGACCTGAACGTTCAGTATAGGAGAGAGAAGGAGGCAGGGACTGAGACTGAGGGAGGGCATTTTGCTTGGTCTGTCAAGCATCACATTATACTCATTTTATAGATAGTCAGGGAATTTTTAATTTTGCAAGTGACAAAAGAAAGTGACAAAATCACACATGTGCACAAAGTACCCATATACATATGATCGCATCACGGGCCCTAGTCCTGTAACTGTGGATGGGATCCTGCTGGGAATGGCCAGAGAGCAGGATCAGGGCAACTACCACGCCTCTCCCTAAGACACATGAGGTATTTTCAACTTCAGATCTTTGACAGAAGCTGGTCTTACAGAATACTGCAGAAATGAAATCCTGGGCTCCCTAAGCTTTGCTTTGTTCTGGTCCAGTTTCTCATCAGCATTCTCTTAATGAAAAAGCAAGAGTCTACAGAGCTCTGGGTGCTAGCTGGGCTGGCCCTGACCTAGATGTTCCACTGCATCCACACTCCTGGACAGTTCCCTGTAGCCAGGACTTCAGCCTCCCTGCAATCAGGGGGAGCATGTCACTCCACCCTGTGCCTCCAAAACCCTGGGTTGCTTTGATTCTAGAAAGAGTGCGAAAGCCCCCCTCACTGATATACAGGCCCAGTCAAATGGGTCAGAATCCAGACAGGAGTTATGTATAAGCTTACTTTGGCAGAAGACCATGGATTCTGCTTTCTGTCCAGAGCTTCCGACAATGTGGAGCTAGATCCTTCTAGGCTTCCCTACTCCCTTAAAATAGGTGATTAGTACTGCTAGAAAAAAATCAAACATAAGACCACAATAGAAGGTTTTAATGGAAGAAAATAGTTGTATTTGTTGTTTAAAAATACTGAAAAGTAACAGTAATCTCATGGTATCAGAATTTGATGTTTCCATAGTTGAGACAATATTGAGCTCTGCAGGGGCTAAGTCTCAGGATTTTCATCTGGAGGTCTACCTATCCTGGTCGAATGCTATGAACAGGTCTTAGACCAGACTACGGAGCAGAAGGAACATGCAAAGGTCTTAAGCACTGACCACCACACCCTTCTCTCCATCCTTCGCACTATTTACATATCTGAATTTCAGATAAGGATGCAGAACCCGATAGGAATGGAAGAAGAGAGAGGTAATGGCCTGACATCAGCTGCCTCCTTTGAAAGCGTCGGGCCATCTTCAGGACCACCTCCCATCCTGTTTGCACCTAGGAAGATGCTCAGGCACAGTCACCTGGATACCATGACCTGCCCTCCTCTCCCATCAGGACCCTACCTGCCTGGGGTTCACCCCAACACTTACGTGTTGGCCAACACTGCCTTTTCCACTTTGGGGGTTTGGCACCTGTGCTACCTCCGCTCCAAGCTACTCATTCACGTCATCAAGAAGATAATCGTTCTCTGACTCACCCCTTCACCTACAGACACACCCTCCCAACCCTACCCCCACCTCCATCAACATGTGGACAGTGATGTTCTCTGCATGCTTGCACACACAAAAATAAAAAGGTTTTTAATTTTTAAAAAGTTTTTAAAGAAGCAAAGACGAAGCTTTGTAATCCTGTACAAAGGATTGTAATCCTGTAATCCCAACACTGAGGAGGCAGAGACAGGAGGATGCTGAGCTTCAGGCCAGCTTGGTTGCACAGTGAAACCTTGTCTCAAAGAAAGAGGGAGATGGCATTGGGGAGGAAGGAACAAAGGAAGGGAGGGAGGGAGGGAGGGAGGGAGGGAGGGAGGGAGGAAGGAAGGAGAGAGAGAGAGAAAGACTATGAAATAAAACTTACCAATACAACTGTTTCCACGTGTTTTCACAACGTCTTACTGTTTGACTTGGCTGCTATTGGCTTTCTTGTGGTGAGAAAATGGCAGGAGTCCTACTTCTCAGCAGACATCTCAGCTCAGGACCCAGTACAGACTGTAGGGATGGTGCCGTGCAGCTGATTGCTGGAGCTTACCCATCCTGCAGATCTGGGACTTCACTTGCATAGATGCACCTCTGGCAACCTCTGGCAACACTCAACCTCTGGCCACCATCGCTCCACCCTCTGTTAGTAAGAGGTGGCTATTTCAGATACTTTGTATACATAGACTCCTCAGCACTCAGAAGGGTTGGGATCACAGAGTTCCCAACTAGCTTGGGATACATAGCAGTAGTGGCACACCCCTTTAACCCCAGCACATAGAAGGTGGGGGCAGGTGGATCTCTGTGAGTTCGAGGCCATCCTTGTCTATATAGTGAGTGAGTTCCAAGACAGCCAGGGCTAGGTAGAGAGATCCTGTCTCAAAAACAAAAACAACAAACAAACAAAGAAACCCCACCAGTTCCTGCACTGTTTGTCTTCTGTGATTGGCTTATTTCACTTAGCACAGCTCCCTGGAGCTTCGTCTAGACTTAGTACACCGTGGGTTTTCCCTCTCTCCCTTTGATAATAGCCATCCCAACGCACAATAGGTGTGAAGTCATGCTCGCTGTGTTTTTTATTTGCTTTTCCTTGATAGTCAGAGATGTCAATCATCTTTCTGTATACTTATTGGTTGATGTGCATCCTTTGGAGAAATGTCTCTTCAAATCCCAAGACTGAGCTGGGTGCACACATCTTTAATCCCAGCATCTGGGGCGGGGGGGGGGGGGGGGGGGGGGGCGCGGAGAGAAGCAGTTGATCTTTGAGTCCAAGGCCAGCCTGGTCCACAGAACAAGTTCCATGACAGCCAGAGTTACACAAAGAAACCCTGTCTCAAATAAGAACAACAAAATCCTGAGCCTATTGGATAGTAAAGTTAGGTTTTCATTTTGTTCTGCCTTATAGAATTCCTCACATATTGTGGAAATTAGTGCATTATTAGAAGAACAATTCTATGTATTTTCTGGCATCCAATGGGTAAGCTTTACATTCTATTGATTCCTTGCTGTGCAGGAACTTTTTAATTTCATATGACACCCATGGTTTTGTGTGTGTGTGTGTGTGTGTGTGTGTGTTTGCCTATGTTATCCATGTTCTTATTGTCACAGCTATGAAACCCTTGTTAAGATCAATACTGTAAATCGTTTTCCCATTTTTTTTTTGTTAATTTAACAGCTTAAGGTCTTCTGTTTAAGTCATTAATCCATTCTGAGTTTATTTTTGTGAATGATGTATCATAAGGTTTCAAGTTCATTCTTGTGCGTGTGGACATCTGGTCTTCCAGATATCGTGACTTACCAATACCATGTGCCCTTTCCTCATGGTGTATTCTTGACACTCTTAATCAAGTTGAGTTCCCCGGAATATACAAATCGATTCCTGGGCTCGCTGTTCCTCTCAGTGGGTCATTGTGTCTGTCCTTATGCCAGTACCACGGCTGACAACTGTAGCTTTGAATTTTGAAGTCAATAAGTCTGATGCCTCCTGCTTTTGTTTTTTCTCAAGGTGTTTTTTTTTTAAGTTTCCATATTAACTTTAGAATTTTTTTTATCTTTATCAAAAATAGATTTTAATATTTTATGCAATAATTTATAATCAATAAGATTATTTTTTGGAGGTATTCGAGAGCAGGAAGAAACTAAGCCAATCCCATTTGGGGAACTTATGTGAGTCAGGCTTTGGATGACTCCCTCACGTTTCAGCGACTTTCAACCCACATGAAGATCTGCAGTCAAGAGAAGCTAAAATTTGGGGGGCGGGGGTAGGCATAAGTGATTGATAAGTAAGTATTAGCCCAAAGTGTAATCAATTTTCAAGATGTGAGGATGTCTTTAGAATTCATGGGAAAGAAAAAAACTGAAAGCGTGTTCCTCCGTCTCTCTGTCTGTAGGCTGCCATCCCCAGTCTGTCTGTCTGTAGGCTGTCATCCCCAGTCTGTCTGTCTGTAGGCTGCCATCCCCAGTCTGTCTGTCTGTAGGCTGCCATCCCCAGTCTGTCTGTCTGTAGGCTGCCATCCCCA